ACTTCCCTCGACTTGGAGAAAGAAAAATATTGCTCTTGGTCACATCAATGGCTATATCCTTAAAAAGAAATATGAACTTACCTACCCTACATTTCCCGACAATATTCTTTATTTTTTACACAGATGCCTCCTCTCGTATTCTCTTCCATCATCAACGGGGGTATGAGTATGAGGAACCTGATTTTGATGGAGAAGGGAAAGCTACTCTTGCAATTGTTGTTACACCTGAACATACACTAGAACCAGCACAAGCAGCAGTACCACCACCTTCACTAGCCTACCACTCTTACTATCACGAGGACATAATACAAAGGATTGAGCGACTAGAAACCCACCTGAACTCCCACAGTCAACAATAACATCAACAACATGAGGAAGAAATAGGATGATTTGGGGAATAATTCACCTCAATCCACAAATATTTTCAACAACCACCACCACCACCACCTGATCAGGGGCTTTTATACTTTTAGTTTTTTTTTTTGTGATTTCATGTATTTTTTTCTTATTTGGTAATTCCTCCTTTTTGATGATGTCTAAAGGGGGAATAAGTGTTTGGTTGTCTGTATGTTTGCACTTATTAATTAGTCTTTTTTTATTGTGTTTTTTTTATCTTATTATTTTAATTAAAAAAATTGAATAATAATATTTTTTTCTTGCCCCTATTTTTAAGATCTATCATCTAGTGAGGGGGAGATTAGGAGAAAAGAATATTAATTCACTATTTGTCTAGAAAAGTTTATCATTATCAAAAAGGGGGAGATTATTGTAATCCAGGATCTTTAGCTCATGATTTTAATAATAACAAATATTATTGATTGAGACTTTACTTCACAAAGAATATATTAGATATTATTTTTTCTGTGTACACTAATATTTTAGGTACAACATATATCAGTCAATATTATTGAACACTCAAGTTTGGGTAGAATAAGATGTCAATCAATAGAGTTTGTGATTTTAACTTTCTTATATTTTTATTTCTTTAGTCTAGCCATGTAAGGGTGTATGCTAAATTGGTGACCATGCACATACACATTAAGGGAGTGGGGAAAATTTGAGATAAAATTTTTTGAACAAATCACATCGTATGATTTATAATCATACTATATGATCTATTATATGAAAAAGGGTTTAATGGTTAATTGAATCATTAATTTTAACGAATTGATCATACTGTATGATTTAAATCACACTGTATAATTTATTTTGATTTGAGAGACCCTAGCCGCTAGATTAATCAAGTAAGAGTTTTTAAAAATAAATTTTGAACTAATCATACTATACAATCCTAATCGTAATATACGATATTCAAAATCTCACTTAAATTATCACCAATAATTAATCAATCAAATTATTATTAATTAAATGTGGCTAATCATACTATATGATTTTAATCATACCGTATGATCAACATAAATGAAATCTGGTCATTCCATAAATCTTACTAAACAAAACCTTTTTTTTTTAACTAATCATATAGTATGATATCTATATTAAACTATATAAACTATTGATATTACACAAATCATACTTTATTATGTGAATCGTACCAAATAATCAACAAAGATGATTTTCAATCGTCCTAGTGATTGTCCTATATGAATAGAGAAAAATTAAATTAATCGAATTATACAAAGTTACAATCATAATATATGATATGTTTATTAAAATTGAATAGTTCGTCTGAATAATCATTATCAATATATTGGATGGGTTCTCTATTATCATAAGGAGGGTGAAGATGAATTCTAGGTTCTCTACCTTCCCCAAGAGAGAGAAAAATGATTGAGATTTTCTGCCTTCTCCAAGAGAGTGATAAAGCTTTTGGTTATCCCATGCACCAGGTTTGGCGGAAGTGAATTATTTAAGGGATTCTCCACCTTGTTGTAGGGGTAAAAAGGAGATAAACTATAGTGATAGTGCAATACCCAGAGTGGAGGACTCCGAGGAGTGGACGTTAGTCAAGGTTGACCGAACCACTATAAAATCTCCGGTGTGCTCTTTCTTATTCTCATTTACTTTTCTTATTTTTTTCCTAAAATTTGAATTTACTACACAAATCTCATCATTTATTATCAACTGCAATTAGGTTAATTATTAATTTGTAAAAGGAACATTTTCATATCTTAATTAATAGATTTGTGCCTTAAAAATGAAAAATATTTTAAATCTTTATTTGGTTCTGCATGTGTTAGATTAACTAATTATTTCGAATTATTTTCAAAAATCTTTTTTTTTAGCAAAAATCTTATTTTTTATAGCAATAACTTTTAAAAGTACATATTCATCCCCCTCTTGGTGCGCCTAAAGATAGTTCATTGAGGTCTTGCAACCTCCCTGAACTGTCATGTTAAACATTTCTTATTCTTAGTTTGGATATGAAAATAAAAATGGTTTCTCTTTTTAAATCATTAGTCAAGAATTAGTTTATCATTTGAAGCAATAGATGTTATGCTACACATATTTGATTAAAGAAATGTTAAAGAGAATCATGCCAAACATTCATACCATTTATTTTTCTATAGATGCAAACCTTTCTTCTACTTCTCACAACAATAGAGATACCATCTCTCCTCTCACCTCCACAACCCAAGGAAGATGACTTCCCTTCATTAGCTCCTCACTATAGTGGAGATGTCAATCCCTTCTTCCACCTCCCAGCCCTATGGAAATGTTGTCCCTCATTTCACTTCCAAGTATGGTAGAGATGTCGATCCCTCCTTTGGCCTTCTCGATCTGATTAATATGCCAACCCTTCTTTTACTCCTCAAAATGGTGGATATACCATCCCTCCTCTGTCCTCCACGTCTCAGTGGATATGTTGATCCCTAGCCTCCTTGGCTAGCAAATCTTTCATAGCAAAGACTCTTTTTCTAGAGCTCATTTCGAAGAGCTCCACCAAAACACAATAGGAAGACCCAAGGTACATGCTAATAAGAGAAACTATGTGAGTCCTCTCACACCCCTTAACTCCCTTAAGGCACACTCCTTTTCTTAACCTCGCCTTCTTCTATCACCCTTATGAAGTGGACTCTCCAAGCTCTCTCCTAAGAAGAAACAATCTTTCACTTCTCTAGCCCCTTCCCTTAAGACATAATAAGAGCTTATAAAGTGGGCTCTAAAACTTCCTAATTTTTAATTTTAAGACTTTTCATCATATAGTACAATGCATAGATCGTACAATATGATTAATTCACTTGAATCATAGATCTTTATGGATGAACCAAGGTTTATCTAATGAGTTCTCGAGTGAATCATATAATATGATAATATATTATATAGTATTATCATTAATGATGATTAAATCTGATTTAAATAATCATTAATGATGATTATATCTGATTTAATTTTTTTAATCCTCATAATTAAATTATGCAATTCTAATTAATGTTTGCACAATACAAAATGGATTACACAATACCCAACTAGTTCAATTTTTAAATTTTCTTTTTTTAAGTAGCCAGGTTTCCACGGTAGCATTTCTCAAAATAGTTGATCGTCTTGTACGATATAGTTGTTGTGCAACATGATTAGTTGTAACCCTAATTTAATTTATCTTATTTAATTAAACAATTGAAATAATTTTTGTTTCAACATAAAGTATAGAGCTATTTGCAAAAAAAAAAAAATCAAATATTCAATTTTACTCTCCCTTATGTTTGTGTACATAGTTGTCAAGCCAATATACTCCCAATACAGAAAATAACTCAAGAAAAAGAAGATGTATAAACTCTTTTGTAAAAAGTTTTCTAAGGGAAGTTTAAGGTGCAAAGACACACCAAGAGAGAGAGAGAGAGAGGGGATAGTGAAGTGGTTCTTTTAAAAGAATCTTTTGCTTAAAAAATAAACCTTGAAATATGTGGGAGCATTTAAGAGATTAAAAGGTTCAAACCAAAAACCAACAGTAAAAGAGATATATTTTTTATTTTAAAATTTTTAGAAAATAAATATTTTTTCTTCTTTTTTTATTTTGAAAAGAAATTTCAACCATAGATCATTCAACAAAAACCTCTTTAATAAAGTTAATCAAAATAAAACTATAGTACATTTAAATAATTTACAAGAAAAGTAAAATACATAAAAGTAAGAATATGCAAACTAGGTTTATAGTGGTTCGGTTGAATCGACCTACGTCTACTCCCCAATGGCCCGGGTATTGCACTAACTCAGACTCCTTCAGCACATAGCACGGAGGAGAAGCTCTTCTCCCTTACCACAAGCGGAGAATAACCTTTACAAATTTTGAAGAATCTCTCTCCTCTCACCTTCTCGGCCTAGCAGAGATGACATCACAGTCATCACTCCTTTCACCTCCTCTTCCCCGATAGAGATGTTGATCCATCCTCTCAACTTTTTGGCCCAACATAGAATTGATGTTGCACAAGAAACTCATCAAGAGTGTCTTTTGGAGGGTCATCCAGTGTAGTTAACTTTAGAGAGCATAGTCCCTTCGAAAGACTAATCAATAAAGATTCTTCATTTGACATGACATAAGTTAACTTGGATCATGTAACTTTTAGTTAGTATTTAATAGGAATTATATGATTTATTGATTCTATTTAATTAGTCTTTTTTAATATTTTTTATCAAATGTCTTATTCGTTAAGAATACCCTTAAATCATCATCAATTTTCTCAACAATAGTTGCATTTGTATTTTCAAATTTAATTTTAATATCAACAATTTATTGCTTGAAGGCATAATTGTTAAAGTGAAGGTTAACTGATGGAAGGCATAAGAACAAATAATCACTAAATTCATAATTGTTAGTGGATATTAATTATTTTGCATTTTATTATATTAATATTTTCAGTTTTAATTTTTTTTAGTTGAACTTAAAATAAATTCATTTGTAGTATCAGAATTTTAAAATGAAATTAAAAAAAGAACTAAAATTTTCATCCAACAATGTATCACTCTCATATAAAATATTAAGCAGTGGGTCGCACTCTACAATAACTCCGTTTAGAATCAATTTCGCGTGATCCAATTCAATCAATGTTTATAACATAATCCCGACATCAGCGCCTTATCAGCCGGTAGAGATATGAGGTCCTCTTGTCACTAAAGCTGCATGCCGCACAAATTCTTTTTGCTGGAATCCAGCGAGCGGGCAAGCGAAGTAATCAAATCGAATCCTGCGCACGGAGAAAAATAGTCAATGGGAAGAGCTTTCGTCTACGTGATTCTAGGCGGTGGAGTAGCTGCCGGGTACGCAGCGCTCGAATTCTCACGGCGAGGCATCGCTCCTGGCGAACTCTGCATCATCTCTGAAGAAGCGGTGAGCTCCACTTTCCTTTTTCTTCTTCCTCTTATTTATTTCATTGATAGTACTGTTTTTTTTTTCTCTCTCTCTAAAACAAGTATCCGGTGTTCAAAATGAGACCTTTCCGATCAGTACTGTTTGTTCTTTGGTTTTTCTCTTGCTGTTGGATGTCTAAAAGCGAATTTTTGTTCTTTAAGGAAATTACCATCTGCTCTGACCTAAATCCTTCAATTCAAACTAATACAAATGACAATAAAATTAAAAGAAAACCTAGGGCATCGAGGGATGGGTACGGAGGTGGACGACGGAGGTTGACGTGAGGCTTCATGAGCAGTGGCAACGATGGATACGAGGCGTGTTGGCAGGGGCGAGGCGTGCGTTGGGAACTACGCGAGGCAATAGTGGTAGCTTCACGAGGCCTCAGAGTTTTTTAGGAATGAGCTGCAAGAGGGAACTGCTTGAGGTATCACCGGAACGGCTATGCGAGGCTTCAAGAGGCTTCGGGGATTACATCAAGAATGAGACTTAATGGGAGTTCAATGTATTTACATTTCCTCATATTTGTGTGAATACATCGATTATGCATTATTAACCATGGTGTTCCAAACTCCTCAAAATATTATTTTGCATCTATTTTATTTCCAATAAAGGATCAAATAGCCTGAAACTCATGCTTTTGTTTTTCATTACACCCATAATAATTGTAACTAAACAAACCCTATTTGGAAAGCTAATTAGTGGATTGATTTTTCTATATGAACTGATATGAGCAGAGATCCTTGTTTGAGAATCTGAGTTTCAAGTAGTTGAAGGAACCAAAAATAGTAGTTAATTAATTTGGGATAATGAAAGTGACTAGGTACATCCAAGAAGAAGGGTGAATTGGATGATTTTAAAAATATTTTCAAAATAGTAACAACAATTATAGTGGAAGTAATCTAAATGATTAATTTAAAATTTATATTTCAAAATAATTTTGAGAGCAAAAAAACTTTAAAAAAAATTAATAGAAGTTTAGGATTTAGCACTAGAAAATTTATTTTTATTTTTGAAATAAAGTTTACTTTGCAACAAAGAGCAGTTCTAAACAACAAATAAAAATATGCAAGAAATAAAGTTTAACATAAATAAAAAAGAGAAATGCAAACCATATTTTTTTATAGTGGTCCTGTCCTCTGACTTACGTCCACTCCCTAAGTTTTTCCTCCTTGGGAATTTCGCTAAAAGTACCCTTTTGCTTCCAGCAAGACATAGAAGCCCTTCATTCCCAGGTGGAGAATTATCTTTACATAGCTTCTCTCTCCCCAAAAAGCTTAAGACTTTCTCCTTCTGCTTCCTAGCACGGTGGAGATGCCTCTCTTCTTCTCCTTTCTGCACATTGAAAATGCCTCCCTAGCCTCCTCGGCTAGACTTGATCAAGCCTCTCAATAAAGACTCACAAGAGCTCTAAACCTAGAGCTCCTCACACAAAAACAATGTGGAAGAACCCAGTGCAAAATAGAGAAACAACCATGTAAATCCTCTCATACACTCCTCAGACACCCCCATGGAGATTTCTCTCAAACTCATCCTCTCATCCCAAGTATTTTTTCAAACTCACAAAGAAAGAATCACGCTCTTCCTCACAATGGACGATCTGCAGCCTCTTGTTGAAAGAAACTCTATGTCTTGAAACATAAAAGTGAATATTTAAATGGAAATCCTAAATTTTAATTTTCACAACTAGATCATACAATTTAAACCTGTCATCATACAATATGATTAGTTTATTCTGAATAAAATTCGCAAATTAAACTTTATTATTTTAATGAGTTTGAATAAAATTATTCTGAACTTCTTTCCATTATTAATGGCTTGGCCTTCTTTTTCCTGGAGCATATATTCATGAGTGGCCATAGGTCACACCACTTAAAAACTCATGTAATTCTTTAACTGACATATTTTTTACACTTTTGTTGATTGATAACAAGACATACTATATGATGTAGCTTTGTGTTTTCATGCAGACTGCTCCTTATGAAAGGCCTGCATTGAGTAAAGGATTTTTGCTGCCAGAAGGTATTAAATACCTTATGTTGAATGCATATTTTTTTTTTTTAGTGTTTTGTTGGTTTCCACAAGCATGATCTGTCTGCATGGTATTTTATTTACCCTTTTTTGTGCATTTTCATATAACATCCGGAACTTTGCTATCTATTCTTAAGAACTAAAAATCTAACAAAGCTTATATTATTTTTGTTCTCATTTTTCCCTTGTAAACTTTGAATTTCTTCCTATTTTCGTATGAAACCAATTAGGATAATGATATTAGGATATGCTTATATTATGAGAATATTTAATTTGTTGAAGGTTTTAATTATTTCCTTATAATTGTGATTATTCTTGCTATTATTTATTTATTGTTATATTCATCTTGTATGCTTATAAATAGATGCATATATTTAGTAATATGCCAATTTTGGTAACAAAGATTTATGAGACGACTCATCTCAGTATTGAAGTGTAGTTGACAAATTGATTTATTTGATTTTTTTCAGATCTAATACTTCATTTTTTGTTGTTGAAATTATAAGCCAACAATTCAAAAATAAATAAATCAATAGAGGCATTGGGTAGTAGTTCTACATCTTCTGAAATATATCAAGAAGTTTCCTGAAAATTATTTTTTTTACACTAAGACTGAATACTTTCAATCCTAGGATTTTTTCACATATTCTCAAATATATCAAGAAGTTTCCTAGGAAAAGGAGGTTTGCTACTTCCTTTTATTCAGGGAAAGAAGAAGATCGGCTCACTCATATAGATATACATGGAAAGGGAATTGGTTTCTTATATGCAGAACAAAAACAAAGGATCATTGCTTAATTGTTTAGGAGGTAAATTTTATCATGTTGATTGCTGCTTAGGAAATTAAAATTAAGGATGATGAAGATTCATTTTTGTTATGTTCTTGAGATTTATTTTGAGAGGGATTTCTCAGCTTTTTTCTTTCATATTTTTCTTAAGGAAGTTTAGCTCTAATATTTGATGAAATGTACATTTCTTCACAATGTTTATTATTATAAGATTTTTATTTATTTATAGATAATCCTTATATGAAGGGAGAGTTGTAAAGGATTACATTTTAACTGTAGAGGTTTACTTTTATAGTGAAGGGGGTTGGTTGTTTATATAACATGAACATTGTATTTTGGGAAAACATCATAGATTGATGTTCTCTACGATATAACACCAAGGGTGTTAGGGAATTTTAGTCATTCTCCCTAATGTGGTGCTGCCAAAATTTAGTCAAAGTGAAAATTTGGATTAATGTTGGTCATTATTCATATTTTCTGAAGAAAGCATTGCTTAAAATGCTTAAATAAAATAGATATGCATTAAGCTTCAAGTTTTGTTGTCAAAGAGAGGGTATCATTGTGCATTAAACTCTTGGGCTTATTACAATAACAATGATGAGGGCATCAGATTCCGACACGTGTACCATCGCCGGAGGCGCCTGGATTTACATCATATTACATCAAACAAGAACAACATCAAGTCTTTGTCCCACTACGTGAGGTTGACTACATGAATCCTTTTTCTCCATTGTCTTGTTAAAAGTCAATTTTTCATTTAAATATAATAAAGAAAGATCCATTGTCTTGTTAAAAGTTAAATTTTTATTTAAATCTAATAAAGAAAGATCATTTCTTATATTTTCTAACCAAGTCTTTTTAGGTCTACCTCTACTTTTCTTAACATAAATCAAATCTAAAATCTCAATTTTCCTAATCGGGTCATCGGAAGGCTTCCGTTTAATGTGACCAAACCATCTAAGGCGACTCTATCTAATCTTATCTTTCACTGGAGCTACTCCAACATTTTCACGTATATGCTCATTTCGCATCCCATCTCTAAGGGTAAAGCTCATCCACACCTAAGCATCTTCATCTCTGCAACACTTTACTTAGTATTATGCTTCTCTTTTAATAAGCTCTGATACCAATTGAAATTACTAAATGACAAGAGGGGGGTGAATTGTGAAAAACTTTTTCTCAATAAAAAGTAACCCTAAACAGGAGTTCTAATCTTTTTGTTATTTTTGAAATTTGACAACAAAAACTTAAACAAATTTTCTTCCACAAATTTCACCACGCAATAATTATGAAAAATTAAGTGCAAGTAAAAGTAAATGACGATAAGGAAAAAACACACCAAGGATTTTTATAGTGGTTCGGTCAAAATATGACCTACGTCCACTCCCCGGAGTCCTCCGCTCCGTGATTTTCACTACCAAATATAGTTCTCCTTTTGCCCCCCTCGGCAAGGCGGAGAAGCCTTTACAAACCTCCCTTTCACCAACCCGGCGTGACGGAGTGCCAAACTCTGTT